TCCCCCGTGAGGGCATGTTCCCCTTGGGAAAAAACCAAAAAAAAAAAAAAAAAAAAAAAAAAAAGCTTGGATAGTTTTCTTGATCTCGGGCTTATGTAGATTGGGAAAACACAAACTTCTTTTAAGGACTAATGAAAGTACGACTCAATTCCTTATCTTAAAGTTTTCATAATCTTACCTATTTTATATGTATTATAGTATTTCTAGTAAATAACATAAGAATTAAATGTCAAAATGCTTTAATGTTCACATCCACAAATGCTGACATAAGAAGGATACTGCTTCCAATTAGAGACACAAGCCGAGACACAGGAAGTGGTCTATCAAATACAAATCTGGAATCCAAACACTCTTGGCGCATAAAATTACTAAAAAAGAAACAAGAAAAATTAGTAATTTCGAACCACAGAGAGGTCTTCCAAGTAAATAAAGTAGTTTGATTTCACTTTGCTTCCAAACATTTACATGAATTACCTTCAGATAAGGAAACCAGAAAGTAAGAAAGTCATGGTCAAAAGTATGCATTTTTGTGCCAAACTGTGGGGGCCGCATGAGGCTTTTACGAGACTAAAATATTTCCTAGCTCTAGAAAATCTTTGTCTTAGTCCACCTATAGAACAGAGAAGAGAAGGCTAAAAAAAAAACAAAAAAAAAAAACCTTGGCTGGCTCTGTGGCCTAGTGTTTAAGGGACTGGATACCACATGGCCACATGGCTGACTGCCATTAGAATTTCAGCCCTGTGGCTTGAAAAACCATGGTGGACATGTATGCCCCAAATTACAACAGGATGGAGAAACAGAGAAGAGATTGTGGCATGACCATGCCCCACGATGGGGTGCTTTCTAGCATGCCCCCCAGTATATGTGCTCTCTGGTAACACAAGAAAAGCTCTTCTTCTTCCATCCTTCCCATTGTCAACAATACTTTAACTTAATTCTAGGTCTTGAACCACCAAAGAGAACCTACTCTGCTGTTATTCTTGAAAGTAGACTAAAATTCTCCAATAATACAACTGCACAAAATAGAATCCAAAGCAAAGAACATCTTCATATGTTCCTACCAATGTGACTTCTACTGTTGCTTCTCTAAGAGACACTGGGTACTATACTAGACTTCTGAGTCTGTTAAATCCAACCAGATTCAAGCAGAGTTAATTTTGGAAAAGAGGGAATTCATATTTATTAAAGAGGATAAAACATAAGAAATGGACACACTCCTTTCTTTCTATGTTGCTTTGCCAGCATATGTCACATCTGATGAACAAATATTGCCTGCAAGAACCAAGTTATTTGTGCAGTACTTTAAGTCCATTTCCTAGGGTATTTAAAACTATACTGCCCAACACAGCAGGCGCTAATCCCATGTGGCTACTGAGCCCTTGAAAGGAGCTAGTCTGAATTGAGATGTATTGTAAGTGCAAAATTCACATACAATTTCAAAGACTTAACACTAAAAAAGTACTTTATTTCATTAATAAAGTTTTTATATTGATTACAAGTTGATATGGCATATTTGAGAGAATCTGGGTTAAGTATTGGGTTGTAAGAAAAGTCATAATGTATTTTTTGCATAGAAAAATAGAAAAATATGTCTTGACTTTGTTGAAGACTTGACAGAATGTTTGACAACATAAAATATATTGACATTTTAAAAAGCAGACAGCCGTCCATAACAGTCTCATTGTAATAACTTTTTTCTTTAAAGAATTATTCATTTAATTTTATTTATTATTATTATTATTATTATTATTCAACTTGACCAGAGAGAGAAAGAGAAAAAGCAAGCAGCCAGATTTAGGACTTGAACTGCAGTCTTCTATGTGGGATTCCAGTGCCTTAACCTCCACACCGCCTGCTGGCCACTGTATTGATAATTTAAGAGACAAAGGGACTGGGTGGACATCGAAAATCCTAAACAATGGCATTATTATTTGCCTTCATTGCTTATATTCTTTCCTTCTGAATCAAATTATAAACTCAAGATATTAATTTTGGCTAACTACCACCTCCCAGATACATACATACTACCTGAAAGGCACCATGTTAAGACTCTATATTAGCTTTACTTAATAATATTGAAAACAGGGGACCATCTGTTGGCATAATGGCTATGTTGCTGGACTCCCATGTAGTCGACCACAGTTCGAGTCCTGGACCTGGTGGCTTAAACTCATGCCAGGCGCGTGTGCATGTGTGCCCAAGATCCTGAGAGGAAAATGGAGGAGAAGGCATTGTGGCGTGGACATTTGTGAGAAAGTTGATTTTAAGTAATTAGTCCAATTTCAGATACTAAGTGGTGAAGGTAAGAACCCAATTTGTGTGATTTTAAAAGCCCCTCCTCTTTGTAGAAAAGTCCCTTTCTATAGAGGCAGAACTATTAAAAATGTGTGCTCCACTCTTTATTTTTTTGCCAAAGGGCATGTGTGCTCACCAGAGACAGAGAAGAGAAGTGAGAAATCACCCTCTGGGAGGATGGTCATGCCACAATCCCTTCTCCTTTGGGGATTTTGGGCATGCATGCACCTGTGCCTGGTGTGATTTCAAGTTACCAAGTCCAGGACTCAAACCCTGGTTGGCCATGTGGGAATCCAGTGATTTAACTACCACCTGCTGGCCTCAAAGCCCCACCTCTCTATTTACATATTGCCTCTCAACTGAAAATAATATCTATTCTGGACTCCCACTGAAATTTAAATGTTACTTTACTTTTTTATTATAGAAAAACTAACTTTTAAGTTACTTGAAGATGAGGTACATGTTTGAGTCACCTTTGTACACCTTGCAGCGTCCACTATTGGGCTTTGTAAAGAATAAATGTCTTGAGCACCAGCAGGTGGTGTGGTGGTTAAGGTGCTGGACACTCCCACATGGCTGACCACGGTTCAAGTCCTGGACCTGGTGGCTTGCTTTCTCACTTTCTCTCTCTCTCTCTCCCCCTCTGATCAAATTTAAAAAAAAAAAAAAAAAGAATAAATAAATAAAATTAAAAAAGAAAAAGAATAAATGTCTAATAAATACTAATGTATTAAAGAAAGTATGGGTAATTTGGCTTACCCTTAAAAACCAGAGTATAAATCTCTTTTTAGACAATATGTGGTTTCAAGCTATACGTATTATGCTAACAAGTATCACATTATTCAGTGGCTTCTTAAAAGTATTAGTAGTAATATGTTTAATTCTATTAGTCACTACTACAGGAACAGAGAGAGGAAATACTTAGTAACTAACCCAAGTCCACTAAAGTATTTACAATCTTAACTTGTAAACATTCTGGCAGATGACTTCCTAAAGTTTCTAATCTGGATTAATTTTTTCAAAATAAGTAATTGGGACTGTCAGTGGCATGGTGGTTGGGGTGGCTGGATCCCAAATGACTGACTATGCAATTCAAGTCCCAGACCCAGCAGTTTGTAAAACCCATGGGGTATATGCTCAAAATCCTGAAATGAGAAATGGAAAGGAAGTTTTGTGTTGTGCCCATTCTCACAGGAGTGCTTTCTCATTTTCCCTCTGTTCCTCTCTTTCTTTTTGACGAGCACACATTCCACTAGCAAATTAAAAAAAAAAAAAAGCAATCAATTATGAACCAAAAGGACTTGTTTGTGTTTTTCACAATCATACTCACCATAACAGTCTAGCATCTGCAGTAAGCCCCGCAATGGAGATACCAATATGGTTGTCAACATGGAGAATTTTTTTCTGATGAGCTGCAAGTTCTGACTGTGCTCTCTAAACAGAGACGACATAAAAATAAGTTTACGACTTGTCTATACAGTGAAATTTGTATTTGGTACTACTCCTTTCTCAAGGAGAAAAAGGTATTTATTGCTTTACTTACCTTCAGTGCAACCAACACTGCATGAGTCTTTGATTTCAGACCAACTGTGGCTGAACCCTGTTTAACAGCTTCCATAGCATATTCAATTTGATGAATCCTGCCCTAAAGAGAAAAACCAATACATCGCATGCAGAGTCATCTTACAAGACCTTTCTATAGTTCCCACAGCTTAAATAAGCACAGGTAAGCCTCAAGTGATTTTTTTAAAAGCCAGAAACTGGTTCTAATGATAAATTTAAGTTTCAGGATTCTCTAAAATGGTTATATTCCATTTTCTCACAGTCTGTACTCACATGAGTTTGTATATATTGCAGCCACGGAAAGCTACTTCACGATGTTATAAAACATAAATTTACCTGAGGGCTCCAAACAGTGACATCATTGTCATACTGGTTTCGAAACTGAAAGTGAAAGAAAAAAGATGTATTAGAATAACAACATTACAAATGCTAACTCTTAACATTCTTTAAGGAATTGCTTGCATATGTTTCCATTCAGTGTTAACACAATTCTGTTAATGTACCTACATCAGAAGATTACTAGTGGACTCAACTGCAAGTCAATTCTCCATTTACCTTAAGAAGGTAGTGGGAGAAGCAGACCTACAGGAGTCTTATCTTCCCTACTTCCTGTTTGGTCACTGTCCATACCACTCCCTTTGGTTTCAGTCAATTACTAAAACTTACATGCATAAACATAACCATCTTTGCTCACGTTATTCCCTTATACCAAGACCGAATGGTCAAAATCCTCCCTTTTCTTCAAATTAGTTCAAATGTCTATTAAAGTCTTTTCCATCTTCATTCTCAAAAATTCCAATACACATCCCTTCAGTTCTTTATCTACACATCCCTAATTAGACATGTCTAATTTATCTTTAAACTCTCGCTGACTGCACTTATACCGTGTACAAGTGTTTTGCAAATGTAAGTATGAATATTGAATAAATAAACACAAAAATGCCTTCAGGAAATTAGAGATGGACACGAATAGCTACAGAGAAAGAATCATTACTACTATAACGACAGTATTAAAACAAGTCTATCAGTACTTGGACGTATCTTCATGGAGGTGAGGGGGTTGAGTGCTGGAATGGTAGACATCAGACTAGAAGCCCAAGAATCCTATATTCTAAGGCTTGATTTACTCATCCATAAAACTAGGCAACTGGACAAAGTCACTGAAAGGGGCTTTTCCTATCGAGCTCTAGGGGACAGATGAATCATATGAACCCATTAGGTAAATGGTTTCAGGAACCTGAAGCCCAGGATCACGTCTACACTGACGATACAGGAAGGCTGAAGCCCTGTCTTATGAAGTCAAGTCCCTGTCTTATCCTTTCCCGTGCCGGACACGAGGGGCTACCCTGGATCGCTCGGAATCTATCCCACTGAAGGAACCTGAGGGCAGAAGTCGGCTAGTCTGACCGAGGCGGAATTGCCCGCGGATCCGGGGAAAGTGAAACAAGCAGCGTGGAGAAAGGCCGCACCGACTACCGACCGCCCCTGGCTCGGCCAGGCCGGAGATGCTGAATCACTGCCGGAGCTCTCCGGTCAGCGAAGGCTCCCACGCCTCGTGGCCTCAGGCCGCTCTGACGATGCCAGGAGGGACGGCTCGCCATCCCCTAGACACCGGACCCCTGCCCCAAACCGTCTAAAGACAGGGATCTAACGCACCATGGTTCCGGCACCGGCCTGGTTACTGCCTCCTGCACACCTCCGACTCAAGGACCGCTGCCGAAACGAGCGCTCAGCGATCTACAGAGAAGCCTGCCGGAGGTGCGGCGGCGGCGGCGCAGGGTAAGGCAGTCTATTCCAGAGCTATCGATAGGCTTCCAACGCTTTCCCGCCCTCAAACCTCCTAGCTGGCCCAGGGGTGGGCGTGGCCTCCGAGGAAGTTCGAGGAACTGAGGTTGGCGGGAAACAGCCGGGAAGACCGCGGACGACCGAGAGCTGTTCTGGCCGACCCTGACGTGCCCTCAGCGAAATTCCTGTCAGTTCTGACCCGAGCGGCCCCCCAACCTCTCATTCACCGTCCGCAGAGATTTGGGGTGTTGTGTGACTGAGAAGACCGAGGCTGCCGGAAAGGCCACAAGATAATGGTCCGTTTGTGTGCGTTAGCCATGCCCTTCCTCAGAATCTTGTTTGAGTACTTATTTGCCTTTCCGCCTTGAACTGCTTTTCCTCACTCCCTTCAAAGCTCATCTTTCAAGGCTCTGTTGTCATTGATCACTCATTTTTATTATTTTTGGTTTCCTCCACCGGATTTTGAACTCCTGGGGGAGCACTAATGAATGGCTTTCTGTGCTCTAACAACCGTGGACCGTTCGCGGTAGATTAGGCCACCGAGGGGGAAAAAAGACTCTTTCGAATTACACATTTTCTCTTTTGAGAGTATCTTTCAGTAAATCCTCAAATCAATTAACTTAAGAAATTTCTGCAGGACCCAGCAATTGGTATAGTAGTTAAAGCACTGGTTTGCCCATGGTCCTTGCGGTTCGAATCTCCAGACCTGGCAGCTTGAAAATCATTCTGGGCCTGTGTGCCCAAAAATCCCAGGAGAAGGGATTGTGGTGTGGCCATCCCCTCTAGGGGGTGATTTCTCATTTTCCCTCTAAGGGGAGCTCATGTACCCTACCTAACATCTGCTGACTGCTAATGACTTTATAAAGAACAAAGTATGAGTACATAGACTCAGGTAAGTTAAGAGTTGAAAGAATCTTTAAGGATCTGGGTTTTGCTGGTGAAGTAACAGACAGACTAATATGTTCAAATTAATAGCAACTTACAATAGTATCACACTCTATGCTTTTTCACTTCCTTTTTTTTTAAGAATTATTTTTAATTTAACCTTATTTATTTTTAATTTGACCAGAGAGGGACACAGATTGAGAGAGAGAAGGAAAGTGAGAAAGTACACCACCAGGTCCGAGATTTGAACCGCAGTCAGCCATGTGGGAGTCCAGCACCATTAGCCCCGACAACACCTGCCTGCCCTTTCACTTCCTTTTTTATTTTAACTTTTTAAGAGAGATTTTTTTTTTTTTTGGAGAGATTTTCACTGTAGGGCGCGTGCGCTCGCCAGACAGACAGAGAGAGACATAGAGACAGAAAGCGAGAAATCACCCCCCAGGGAGGATGGTCACGCCACAATCCCTTCTCCTCCATTCTCCTCTCGGGATCTTGGGCACGCACGCACACGCGCCCGGCGTGAGTTTTAAGCCACCGGGTCCGGGACACGAACCGCTGTCGACTACGTGGGAGTCCAGCGACATAGCCATTATGCTAACTGCTGATTCCCAGAGAGATTTTTTTATAGGGTGTGTGCACTCACCAGAAACAGACAGAAAGTGAGAAGTCACTTCCCCAAGGGGGATGGTCACACCACAGTCCCTTCTCCTCTTTGGATTTTGGGCACACATGCACACGTGCCCGGCATGAATTTCAAGCCATCATGCCTGGGACTCAAACTGCAGTTGGCCATGTGGGAGGCCAGTATCACAATCACTATGCCACCTCCTGGCCCCCACATATTTATTTTGAACACTTCCATGTTAAATGTTTACCAGGCCAAATATAACTCTCAAGTATTCTGCATTGTGAATATTTGATATTTAGCCAGATCCCTGTTGTTTCATACTTAGGTTCACCCAAAGTATTCGTTTATTAGCTGATATAGATAGGAAGATGGTATATCCATGCTCTTTAGAATAAATTTCCCCAAATGGGCATACAGGGCCAAATGAAGTAGACATTATTTTTTTGACTTTTTGCCATATGCGGTGTTGTACACTCCTAAAAGAGACAAAGAGAGTGGGGATGGCTGTGCCACAATCCCTTCTCCAGTCTCCTCTTGGAATTTTGGGCACACTTGCATATATATGCCTGGTGTGTTTTTCAGGCCACTGGGTCTGGGGCTCTAACTATGGAGTTGGCCATCTGAGATCCAGCACCTTACCCACTTTCTACTGGCCCCTTCAAGATGATTTTAAAGGCATAAGCTTGAATGGCAGGGGGACTTAGCCAGGAGTCTTCTTACACAGCAGTGATGGGATAAATTCTGTGATAAAGGTATCAGAATGACCTGTCCACCTGGAAGCTATTTGCTTGGTCTTTTTAAAAAATAATTATTTATTTAATTTTATGTATTTTTTTTTAAGAATTATTTTTATTTAACTTTATTTTTTTATTCAGTTATTTTAATTTGACCAGAGAGGGATAGGGAGAGAAAGAGAGAATGTGAGAAAGTAAGCTGCCAGGTCTGGAACTCAAACCTCAGTCAGCTGTGTGGGAGTTGAGTGCCCTTAACCACCATATCACCTACCAAACCTCCTTATTATTATTATTTAAGATTTTCTGTAGTTCACATATGTTCACCAGAAAGAGAGGGAGAGAGAGTGAGAAATCAAGCCACCAGGTCCAGGACTCAAACCATGGTCAGCCATGTAGGAATCCAGTACCATAGCCACTACACCACCTGCTGACCCCTATTTTGCTTAATCTTAAGCCAAGTGTGGAGACAGTTTGGCAAATGGCAACTTAAATATTTTGATTATAACTGATGGATGTTTGTAAAACAAAAAGTCCAATGAATATAGATAGCCTTTTTAACTATTCCAGGTGTCATAAGATGTATGTAAGATGGGCCAGAGGTAGTGTGGTGGTTAAGATGCTAGACTCTTACATGGCTGACTGCTGCTCGAATCCCAGATCTGTCAGCTCGCATTCTCATTTTCTCTCTCTCTCTCTGTCTCTGGTGAACACATGTGCCCTATAGCAAATTAAAAATAAATAAATAAATAATTCTTTAAAAAAAAAAAGATTTATGTAAATTTTATTTCCTTAAAGCCTTTACTCAGGTTACAGAGCAAAGAGAGTGAGGAGGCTGTGTCTGGCTCCCACTCTTACAGTCATTGTAGTACATTGAGCTCCACAGAGACAGCATCGGGGCAAGTGAAAGCCGGACAGGCACTGGGAAACTCTGTGCCTCATGGAGAAAAGTAACTGAACAAGTCACAGGAGATCCTAAGAAGCTGAGAGGCAAAAAGCCATCATATGCATTCTTTGTGCAAACTTACTGAGAGGAGCACAATATGAAGCACATAGAAGCTTCAGTCTACTCAAAGTTTTTTAAGAAGTGCTCAGAAAGGTAGAAGACCATGTCTGCTAAAGAGAAAGGAAAATTTGAAGATTTGGCAAAGGTCAAAAAGATTTGAAAAAGGCCTGTTATGAAAGAGAAATCAAAACTTTTATCCCTCCTAAAGAAGGAACAAAAAAGTTCAAGGATCCTAATGCACCCAAGAAGACTTTGGCCTTTTTCTTGTCCTGTTCTAAATATTGCCCAAAAATCAAAGGAAAATATCCTGACCTATCTATTGGTGAGGTTGCAGATAAACTGGAAGATGGGGAATACTACTACTGCAGATGATAAAAAGTCTTGTGAAAAGAAGGCTGCTAAGCTGAAGAAAAATATGAAAAGAATATTGCTGCATACTGAGCTAAAGGAAAGCCTGATGCAGCAAAAAGGAGTTGCCAAAGCTGAAAGACAGAAAAAGGAGGAGGAATATGAGAAAGAGGAGAAAGATGAAGAGGAAGGTGAAGATAATGATGAATAAGTTGGTTCTAGCACAGTTTTCTCCCCTTGTCTATAAAACATTTAACCCCCTATATACAACTCACTCCTTAAGAGAAAAAAAATGAAATATAAGACTGTGTAAGATTTGTTTTTAAACTATACAGTGCCTTTTTTTGTATAGTTAACGCACTACCAAATGTGCCTTTTAGATAACCCTGTCTTGGTGGTATTTTCAATAGTCACTGACCTTGCCTGGTACAGTATGGGGTTTGTCAATTGGCATGGAAATTTAAAGCAGGTTCTTGTTGGTGTACAGCACAAGTTAGTTATACATGGCAATGGTAGTTTTCTCATCTTCAGTTGTCTCGGATGCAGCTTATGTGAAATAATTGTTCTGTTCTGTAAACTAAATTCTACTTTGTAATTGCAAAAAAAAAGTTTTAGCTGTTTTGTTGACATTCTGAATGCTTCTAAGTAAATACAATTTTTTAAAAAATCAGTAACCAAAAAAAAACATTGACTCAGACTGGAATCTCCTATTTTTAGAAAGAACTGGTCTAATTGGGGATCTATCAGATGATTAAAATCTTCAGTTTGATGTTGGGGCATTTTATCATGAGTGACTCCATTTTTGTCTTGTCATTTGGGACCTAGAGCAGGATCTTAGTCCAAAGTAATGTTCTTCCTATAATTTTTATTTAACAAGACTCTCAGTTGCAGTGTGTGAGCTCACCTCCTCCTTAAATTCACCAATACTGTTCATTATAATTTTTTAAAAAGTACTGTTAATTTAGTGGATTAAATTAATAGACTGTATTTACTTAGCACCTAGCACAATTCTTAGCATTGAGCACTTAATAAATATTGGTGAATGAATGAATAACATTGTACAAATGATCAAAAATACATATTTATAGGGAACCAGCAGTTAGCGTAATGGCTATGTCGCTGGACTCCCACGTAGTTGACCACGGTTCGTGTCCCGGACCTGGTGGCTTAAAACTCACGCCGGGCGTGTGTGCATGCATGCCCAAGATCCCGAGAGGAGAACGGAGGAGAAGGGATTGCGGCGTGACCATCCCCCCTGGGGGGTGATTTCTCGCTTTCTGTTTCTATGTCTCTCTCTGTCTGTCTGGCGAGCGCACGCGCCCTACAGTGAAAATCTCTCAAAAAAATACATATTCATTTAAAATTGCCATATGGTACATAAACATTTTTTTTTTAACAGAGATTTTTATTATAGGGGGCATGGGCAATCGCCAGAGAGAGAAACAGACAGAATGTGAGAAATAACCTCCTGGGGGATGGCCACACTACAATCTCTTCTCCATTCTCCTCTCGGGATCTTGGGCACGCATGCACATACACCCAGCATGAGTTTAAAGCAGCTGGGTCTGGGACTCAAACCTCAGTCTACTATGTGGGAGTCCAGTGACTTAATTGTCATGACATCTGCTGGTTCCTGGTACATAAACATTTTGACAATTCTTTCCCCTATATCTCTACTCACATACCTCACACAAATGT